TAATTTTTACAAAAACTGCTTGGATCCTATACTGGACCTTTATTCTTAGCTATGCCACTTGGGGTGGGCATTTCTCCTTTGTTCTTCTAATCTCCAGCCACTCCTAGTCATGGTCCCCCCCTCCCATAACTCACCAGCAGAGCTAGAGGGTGGGTCTCAGCAAGTGCCAACAGCCTTCATTGCTGAATTCCACCCCCCCCAACACGAACACTGAAGGCCTCTCCCCAAAGTACCCAGCACCAGTGACTCAAAAATAACAGGTGTTGATTTGCATATTGCTTTGCATACAATTTGTATGTTATTCATTGACAGCAGAGAAATTCTCCCAGCCCCACCCTCCAGCTCTGGCCCCTCTCTTACCAAAGCACTCCCCCCCCCAGTCCCTTTCCGTATAGAGAGGTTCACATCCCTTCCAGCCTTGGTCCATCTTCTGGTACTGTCTGCTCAGACCTTGGGTCACAATGGGCAGTCCCAGGCTAGGAAGATCTGAGGCTGGCTGCCGCTCCATTGCTCTCAGCTGCAGCCCTCTCGCCACTCCCTTTCGCTGTTCTCCCCACTCTCCACCCCTAGTGTAGCAGGAAACATTGATTTGGTGTCTTAGGGGCTGTGGCCTCACTCAAGTTGCCTGATAGATTGGAATCGATTTCTCCAGTCATTTGCTGGAGCTCCTCAGCGAGGAAGGAAGGAGGAAGGACCACACAGTCCTCCCTGTGGTGGAGGAAAGTGGAAAGGGGAGGGGAGAGAGATGCAGCAGAAGGTGGAAGGGTACCTTTGACTTCTCTCTGGACCTGGCATCACAGTGGGTTATGAATCTGTAGCCCCCCCCTCCCCAAGTATACCAGCTTCCCAATCCTCTTTTCCCAGTGTGAAGGGGGGGAGGGGAGGAGAGGGGAAAAGGACAGGACCCTTCAGTATTTACAGTCTCAACCCTCCTGAGTTTTGGAAGAAAAGCCCCTTCCCTTGCTGGTCTAAGGATGTAATAAATTAGACATCCTTCCCAAGGCTAACCTGGGACTCCCAAAGGATGTCAAGGCCTCAGCAGCTCTCCTCTGACCGCCAAGGGCAAACATTGGAGTCTCCTCCCTCCGTTCCTTAGCTCCTAGGTACATTGCTTCGGGGGGGGGGGTCTCCTCTTTCCCTCTCGTTCCTCCCTCTTCCTCTTCCTCCCAGGGTCCATCGGGATATGATGCCTAGGAGTCCTGGTGTATTCTACTTCCAGAGGACTAGAGAACATCGATCCAGTCATCCCCCTCCCCCGCCCCAGTTTCTGTCCTTCACTCTTCCAGGTGTTGGGGAAAGGGGGATGGGCTCGGGCAGACGTGGAAGTGGTTAATTCAGCTTTGGGCAGGGATGCGGCCGGGCGATAGGGACCCTGACACCTTACTCTGGCAAGAGGGAGCGCAGGGCGGGGACACCTTTCTGGGCGGGGTCATCCTTCTAATCGACTCCGCAGCCGCTGCCAAGGCCCTCCCAGCTCTCTCTAGCTGCCGCCACCCACCCTGCGCCCCCTCCCCAGCCTGCGGCCGGAGATTTATGGGACTGCAGTCATAAAGTGGGGCTGTGAGATCTGTCGGATTGTCTTGCAGCCGCGGCTCCAGCAGCCCCCAGCCCACCCCCTCTGTTCGCTCCAGCCGACCCTGGGACCAGGCTTGGTCTGGATGGGCTGGGGAAAGGACCAGTCCTTTCCCCAGCCCCGGCCTCGCCCCCGGGGGCTTGAAGCAGGTCAGACCCGCGCGCTAGCGTATTAGGTCGGGAGACAGGCCAGGCTCCCAGGACCTCTAACCTCTGCAGCCCCTCACCTGCTCACACTCCTACTCTGCCGATCCAGGCCTGGTAAGCGGCTGCTTCAAAGATTCCTCATCTGTTTGTCCCTGTGGCTCTGGGGAACCGCGGAAAAGGAATGGTGCAGCCTAGGGAAAAAGAGCAGCGAGCTGCCCAGGAGCTACTGAGGGGGTGGGGAGGGGGAAGAGAGAGTAAGACAGGGGCAAAAGTTAGGGGAGGAGCGACACCCCCCCCTCCACTGTGCTCCCCAATACTGGGGGTGTGTCTTCTTTCTCTTTTTTTTAATTCTTTTTATTCTCTTCCATATTTAGAGCTATGATCCTAAGGAAGGGGGCAGAAGCCAGCTTGAGGGAAAGGGAGAGGAGGGGAGTAGTTGAAGAGGTTTAGCCATCTTAGTTAGGATTCAGGTCATTTCCCCCAATCCTTGATCCAGCATGACTGTTTCACTCCTCTTCCACTAGACTCCTCTAGCCATTGAGGGTGGGAGTGGGGAGAGACTGATTGGAGCCTCTTATCAGGATCAGATGAGAACCCAAGATGCCAGGGAGGAGTCCCAGGTGCTAGCCAGGGAAGTACCTGCTTTTGTGCCCAGCTAAGGCCATTCAGCTCTCAGAGAAGCCTAGAACTCTACCTAGCCAGGAGAGGGCCTTACCCACACTGTTGCCATCCACTCCTCAGAGATGGAGGGTAGAGGTCAGAACAGAATGGGGATGGAGGAGGGATTCTGACCAAGGTTCCTTTCCTACTATAAGCGTTCAATTCTCCCCTTCCCCCTCCCCTTCTCTTCGTCCCTTTTTCCTATGCAGTATAGTAGAAAAATTACTGGATGTGAAGGGAAAAAATCTCTGGGTTAATACTCCAGACTGCTATTTAGGTGTGTTTCACTTTCCCTCTCTGGGCCTCAGTCTCCTCATCCATAACATGGGGGGATTAGCCTAGATCATCTCTAAGGACCTGGCCAGCTCTAAATCCCAGCTCTAAATAAATGCAATGATCTAAATGGATTAACCCAGGGCTAACAATAAATATAGACTTAGTCTGAGCATTGTTAGATTCTCTCTCTAAAAACCTCCTATTCCTTGTGGGTCAGACAGAAGCCTGGACTGGGCCAGGGCTAATGAATGGTGGTTAAGTGGAGGAGGAAGTGAGGGATGGAGAAAATCTGGCTGGGGCTGACTGACACCAAGCAGTCATTAAGGCTTCTAAAAGCAATTGAGATCTCTCTGTCTCTCTCTCTTCTCTCTTTTTCTCTCTCTCCCTTCCTCTCTCTTTCACTCCTCCCCTTTCTCTCTTCTGTCCCTCCCTCTCCTTTCCCCCCTTCCCCTTCCCCTCTCTCTTTCTCCTTACCTCTCTCCTTCCCTCCCCCTCCTCCTCTCCCTCCCTTCTTCCCTTCCTCCCTCTCTCTCCTCTCACTCCAAGGAAGTGGTTCAGCAAATAAGTCTCCCAGGTAGACTTGCCCATTTATTATGTGAGAGTGAGAGAGCAAAATGAAGGAATACGAGGCTGTGTTTGTGTCTCGCCTCCTCAAAGATGTTGTAAAGTCTCTGATGGTAGAGGCTAGGTTCTGTGATTCTGGTTTGTTCCTTACAGTGCCCAGTGTATAGAATCATATGATTTAAGGTCAGAAGGGACCTTAGAGACCATTTTACAGATGGGGAAATTAAGTAGATGAGCTAGAATTTGATCCAAGGTTGTCTGATTCCAACTACAGTGTTCTTCCCATCATATCACTATCATGCATAGATAGTACTCAAATGCTTGTTGATGGATAGATTAGAGACAAGCAAATCTGGTTTTGTTGTATTTTGAGGATGAGATGGAGTAGGGCTGAGCCATGATGGGTGTGTGATTATGTATGATTAGGGATTCATGTAAGACTAGAAGTAGAAGCTTGTGAGAAGGGAAGGCAGAGTTGGGGAGAGGGCAGCCTCTGGCTGGGTGTTTGGTGGCAGGTGAGTGCTAATTGGCACCTGGGAGGCTTACAATGGGCACCAAAGCACTGGATGGTATGGTAAGAAACAATAGCTTCTGCTGGGCAGTGGAGGTTGGAAACATGGAGCTGGGGTACAGGGGAATGAATGGAGTGAGTGGAGCAAGGGGGAATTTAGTATCAAAGTAGGTGTTTGATAAAGAGGGGTGGTGGTGGTGGTGGTGGTGGTAGTGGGGTGTGTGTGTGTGTGTGTGTGTGTGTGTGTGTGTGTGTGTGTGTGTGTTAGCCAACCCAACCCTCGGCCTGTTCTTTTCCTTTTCTTGTGCTTTCTCCATGTTGTGTGTTTTCCTTTAAGTCCCTACCCTTTGCCAAAAGCAGGGTTAACCTTGGAGGATGGGATGAGATGGGTGTAAATGAAGTGAGGGCCCCTGAGTCTTGAACTGTTCTGTCTGCTTTTTCCTTCCTCTCACTGTCCTCTTTGTCACCAGCCTCACTCCTGTTTGTCATTCTGTCTGTCTTTCTCCTGGGAGGGGGATGGGATGAGGATGGGGAGGGGAACTCCACAACCCCTGTTCCTTCCCTGGGAGTCACTCCAAGTATTCTGAACTCCTAACCTCAGGACTCATGGTCTCTCCTTGGGCCTGGATGGTGAACTTTCCACGGTGCCCTCACCCAATCTCCCCTAATGATCAGGGCAGTTATATATCCCACAAATGGTGGGTTAAGAAGGAGAAAGGGCAGTGAAAAGGTTCAGCCCTGTCCCTAGAGAGAAGATGCTTGAAGAAAGAAGTGACAGTTTCCTTTTTTCACCTTTCAGAAGAATTATTTTCAAAAAGATCCCTTTCTGCACTCAGCCCCACCAAGAAAATGACATGGTAGAAAAAAACTCTTTCTGGAGTCAGAAGAGCTGAGTTCAAATCCTGCCTGTGATGCTTATACTCATCTGCCCTTGGGCATGTCACTTAATCCCCCTTGACCTCAGTTTCCTCATCCATGAGATAAGGGTGTTGGACTAGTTGACCTTTGAGGTCCCTTTCACCTCTATAATCAGAGATCATATTATCCCAAGAAAGAGACAAGGCCAGCTTGAGAAGTGAGGAGTAGCTGAAGAAATCCAGCCATGTTGTTAGGATTCCACTCACTTTCAACATCACCTCTCTCTCTTTTTTTTCCTACCAAGACTCCTTCCTCCCCTTCCCCTAGCCAGTAAAAGTGGGGAGTGTTGAGTGGGCCATTTTTGACCCTGCCTGTGCCCTCCTCTTTCTTCCCTCCTCCCCACCCCATGCAGATCCTGAGCGGAGCAGCCCCCCGATGCTGTCTGCAGATGATGCGGAGTATCCAAGAGAGTACCGGACCCTTGGGGGTGGGGGAAGTGGGGGGAGTGGGGGCCGGCGTTTCTCCAATGTGGGGCTCGTGCACACTTCTGAGAGGAGGCACACCGTGATTGCAGCCCAGAGTCTGGAGGCACTCAGTGGGTTGCAGAAGGCAGATGCAGAGCGCAAGCGAGATGCCTTCATGGACCACCTGAAGAGCAAGTACCCCCAGCATGCCCTTGCTCTCAGAGGCCAGCAGGACCGACTCCGGGAACAGGTGAGAGGCTACAGTAGGCATGGCATGTTCAGAAGGGGACAAATCCTCTTGTTAATCTCTGACCTCCTGGGGTGCTGACCTTACACCCAAAGGGTTCCTCCACTGATCCTCCAAACCTGAGAGTCTTCCAGAGTTGGACTTTGAGGACTGAACAACACCAGGAGACAATTTGGCAGTTAACACTGGAATACCCTCTCAAAGTTCAATTTTGCTGGTCCTTTAGATGCCTGGGAGAAAACTTAATCCTGTTTGTCTTTCCCGGGGGAGAAAGAAAACAGAAGCCTTGGCTCTGAGGCCTGGCATTCATCAGGGTAGTTGGCTGTCTTGGAAAAGAATTCCCACCCTATATTTTGACTATTTGGGGGTATAAGTTAGAGGCTGGTTGGGGTAAGCAAAGCTTTTTAAGGTTAAAGCCCTCCCTATCCCCTGTATAGCCATGTGGTGGACAGGGTGTTTGGGGCCCAAGAGCCCCAGCTATCAGGTGGCCTGGTGTCTGAGTTGGAAGAGTTTATGGTTGGCCAAGTGCCTACTCTGGGCCTGTTAACATTGGGCCTTTCAGGCTGAGTTGACCTTTTGGAGGTGGGCATGAAGACCGGATGCTTCCATTGTCAGGGACAGGATTAGAAAGCCCTGAGGCTTCTCTTTGCCCCCCTTCTCCACCATCTCCCCACCAATGATTCCAGGCAAATGTCTTTGTCTCTCTCCCTGTTCTTCAGTTTTATGACTGTTGTGTGAGGAATCCTGGACAGGAAGGGAAATGAGCTCTCCAATAGTAAACCTAACTGAGTAGGCATACATCCGGTGTGGCAGATCATGACTTGCTTTATAGTTCTTCAGTGTTCACTGGCATCCGACCTCTTTTGTATTATTCTATAGAGCCCACCAATCCTTGCCTAGCCCATCTTAGACGCCTCCTTCTTTCCCTTTGTCTTTTCTGAGAAACAGATGTTGGTTTTCCAAAGGGGCTTTATTGGCATAAAGGGAAAATAACAATGAAAGAGCATAGGATTACTAAATCATAAAGCAGGAGACAAGCTAATGTGAGAAATGGTGGACTTCTAATTGGATGAGCTGAGTTTAAGTTTTGGTTCTATGTATTACCTATGTAACCTTGAACACACATCTCCCCTCTTTCTCTCTCAGTTTCCTTACCTGTAAAATGGGGAGTGGACTCGTCCACTTACATTCCATGATTCTCCAAATAGGTCCTAAGTCTAGCTACTGGGGCAGGGATAGACTTTCCTGGTTTAATGGTCCCTCCCTCCTATCTACCTGGTTCCAGTTTAACCTGCTGGAGAAAATCCCCATTGCGTCCTTCCTCTGACTAGGGAAATGCTCAACACCTGGTTTTCCCTCTCATCCAAGGCTAGGGCTCTTTCTGACTTCTCCCAGTGAAATAGGCCTGTGGCTAAAGGTTCTGGTGCCATTGATTGGGTCATAGATGGACTCCATGGGGAAAACTTTTTGCACATTTCTTATATCCTCTTGTATGTAGTGGAAAAGTAATCTGCATGTACAGTTCTCTCAAATGGTAAGTGAAGGATCATTTCTTAGAAAATTCAAGAGGCTGGGGTCAGAGTTAGAGGGGGAGAAAGTATTCCATGTCTCTGGGAAAGCTTCTTTTATTTGCTAATCTGGCATAGTCTTGTAAGAAGGGAGAAAGGGCCTAGGAATAGGTCAATCTTGCCTGTCCCCTTGTTGCTATTGAAAGGGTTGTCCCTTAAACTGTCTCTGTATCTCCAGGTCATATGTTCCTGAAAGAGCATCTCTCCATCTTGCCAGTAGACAAGTTCTTTCATGAGTCTGACTTGTGGCTATAGCTTGGAAAATACTGAAGTCAGCCTGATGCTGGTGTACCAACTTTCCAGTCCCTAATCCCTTGGGCTTCCTCTCTCCTGCTTTTCCTCTCAGGAGGTCTTCTTTACTCCTAGGCATGGAATAATGGAAAGAGTGATGGATTTGGAATCCAGGGTTGGGTTCAAATCTTGATTTTTTGACTTCTCAAAGCTGTGTGACCATGGGCAAATCTCTTAACCTCTCTGGGTCTGAGGTTCATCTTATTTCCCCCCCTCAATTCCATCTTTAAAATCAGGGGGTGAGGTGGGATGAGGGGACAGGGTTGGAGTTGGTCTCTAAGATTCCATGCAGCTCTTCATCACAAAATCATAGATTTAGGTCTTGAAGAAATACTACCTGTGCAGTCCTATAAGGTATGTGGCTTTGGAAAGAAAGAATGCTGGACCTAACATTGCTACTTTTTAGCCTTCAAAATCTCAGTTTTCTCATCTGTAAAATGAGGAAACTGAATAAGCTCACTAGTTCTTAACCTTTAAAAAATTTTTTGACATGGACCCTCTTGGCAGTCCCAGAAAGACATTTTTAAATACAAAAAACAAAATATATAGGATAAACAAAGAAGCCAATTATATTGAAATACAGTATATCAAGATATTTTTCTTAAAAAACTAGTTCTTGGATCCCAAGGTTAAAAGCCACTGGACTAAATGGTCTCTAATGTACCTCTTCCAATTTCAACATTCTACGACTCCTTTTTGACCAAATATAGGGCACATGGTTCCCCTATATCTGGTCTCTCTAAACCTAAGAGCAGCCTATAATCAGCACTAATTATTGGGGCATAGAAATATATTATTAATATAATTAATTAACATATTGTTAACATAGTAATTATTGAGCATAGCAATGCATTATTGATATATTTGTTAATATAGCAATTATTAGGGCATAGCAATACATTAGTAATATAATTAATATTGATATATAGTGTTAATATACAAAGTATGGAGGTATAGCAATATATTATTAATATGAACATATTTGTTAGTATATAAATTATTAGGCCATAGCAATATACTAGTAATATAATTAATATTAATATACAGCATTATCTATATTATAAAGTATGGGGTATAGAAATATATAGATACCCTTTTGTTTTGACAAGAGATATCATTTTAGAGGATGCTACCTACATCCTGTGGTTGTCTATATTCAGAGCAATACAGCACATCAGTTAGACTCCAGGAGAGTTGCTGAGCTGGCTCAGAGACTGCTGTCCTGGCATATGGTCTGGGAAGGGAGAAGGAGTCCATCAACTAATGACCCTTTCCCTACCCCACCCTGACTAAGTATCCAGTACTCTCTCAGTCCTGCCAGTGCTCCTGTGAGAAGGGACATTCCCCATTCCCTGTTTGTACCTCTAACCTTGACTGGATCACAGGCAGATGAAAGGTACTGGTGTGTCTCAGTCATCTCAAGTTCATACCAGATGCCACCCTCATGCTTGTCAATCTCTCGGCTCACCTGGTGGTGGGGCTTTAAGTTGTGTTGAAAAAATATACAGGAAGGAGAAGCAATGTTGAATTTCAGTGTTTATTCATGTGTTTATTTGCTTGTCCATTCAGTCTTTCAAGAAGTATTTATTGAGCACCCAAAAATCTCAGGAGCCCATGACGAGGGGCAATTTGATGTCATGGATAGAGATTCCTCAAAACCAGGGATACCTGAGGTCAGACCCTGCCTACCTCTGACACATATTGGTGGTGGGATCTTGGACAAATCACTAAGACTATAATTTCTAGAGAAGGTGCTGACCTGTAGCAGTAGATGGAGTTTTTCCCACCTGGGAGTTCCGTATACCAAGAAAGTCAAAAGTCCCTGTCCGATGGTAATCAAGGTCCTGTACTAGGTACTGAGAGGATTACAAAGATGAGTGAATGAACGAATGAAATCTGGTCTCTGCTCTGGTGGCACCTAAGTCTAGTTGGGGAGATAAGGCTAACCCATATGAAAGAGCCCACACTGGGCAGTATGTGATCAGATGCGAGGATGAGGGGCAGGAAGAGCTGACTGCAAATGTGCAAAGAAGAGAGATGTTCTTGGGAGACTGGAATGGGCTAATGGAGTATAATGGGAAGAGCCCTAGGATGGTCATCAAGGGGTCTAACCTTTTTCTGTCACTCACTTACTCTGTGACCTTGAGTAAGGCATTCATTCTCTGGGTCTCCGTTTCCTCTTTATTTGAGGAAGCTAGGTGGCATTAGATAGAGCCCTGGGCCTGGAGTCAGGAGGACCCTTTAGGATATGCGAACCTGGACAAGTCACTTCACCTCTGTTTGACACAGTTTTCTCAGAAGTAAAATGAGGATAATAACAGCACCTACCCTACCCTAGCAGAGTTATGAGGATCTAATGAGATAATATTCATAAAGTGCTTAGCACTGTGCCTAGCACATAGTAAGTGCTATATAAATGCTAATTTTCTCCCCTGTTTCCATCTCTAAGTAAGAGGGTTGATTTAGAAGATTCTCTAAGGTTCCTTCCAGCTCTGATCATCTGTGAATCTGGTCAAAGAAGAAGGTGGGAGGAAGATAGATGGCGCAGTGGATAGAGCACTGGCTGTGGAGTAAGGAGGACCTGAATCCAAATCTGGCCTCAGATACTTCCTAGCGTGTGACCTGGACAAGTCACTTGACCCTGATTGCCTCCCCTCCCCCCAAAAATTTAAAAAACAAGGAAAGTGGGACTTGGGGTGAGGCTTGGAAGGGATGGATGGGATTTGGTCAGTTGGTGGGAACATCTTGAGTGTGTTCTTGGAGGTGAGTATGACCACAGCATGTGAAAGCCCAGATGAGTTGGAGTAGAAAGGCCATATGGAGGTGTATGAAAGATTAGTCTGGGCTAGCTTAATGAATGGGCTTTTGAACAGGGGGTAGGGCATGATGTAACAGAGTCCATCTTTTGGATGGGGAGAGACTGGATGCAGGGAGCCTCTTTAGGAGACTGAGGCAGGAATCCAAGTGGGAGGTGCTGAGGACCTGTACTAAGGTGGTGGTCAGGAGAATGGAGAACAGGAGAAAGATGGAAGAGATATTCCAAAGAAAAGTTGAACTTAGTGACACACTGGTCAGAAGAAGTGAGGGGTGGAGGTGGGGTAGTTTGGACAAGACTTGTAATTCCACTGGTATTTGGAACTCTTG